ACTTTCAGAAACATTTTCATTATCATTTTGACATACGGTAGTTCCAAAACTTATTGTTGTCATAAAATAAGCTCTTGGTATAAAGCTGTCATGCTCAAATAATACTTTCAGCATGAGATTCCATTTACAATGGAAAGCAGACATGGATTCCATATTACGGTTAATATTCACATATTTTATACGCTTTGAAAAAGTATCTGATTTACTTCTTATAAAATCTAAAATACTCTTGTAGCCCCTTACTGCCTTAAGTTATCCTTTCTCATAGAAAAAACACTTTGACATGAATTTTAACAATTTCAGAAGACGATAGCTTTGTACAAGTATCCATCGATATGTAAGGAACTATTATTCTACTTCAGTATTTTAATTTGTAGTCTGAGATTGTTCATTTCCTTTTATTGACAGATTTCTTTTTGATGCAATAAACTGCTGCAATGTGTAACAAATTAACCAATAATTTATATAATGGAAGTCAAATTCTATATAATAATTGACGTAATCGAAATATTGAAGAGATCTTTCTAGTCTTTCTCGTGTATGAGAAAATGGATATTTTCCCATGTCGGGTGACCCATAAACAACCGAAATATTGAAGAGATCTTTCTAGATCATTCGAAATATTGAGTCTAGATCTTTCTCGTGTATGAGAAAATGGATATTTCCCATGTCAGGTAACCTATAAACAAGTGTAATTATTGTAAGAAGGGTACCGAACATTCTAGATATGAGCAAAAATTGCTCCGTGGGAAACGAGATTTTTGGATAATAAAGAAAGGTACCGTTTTGGCGAGCGAGATGAAAAAGATGTTACCGTTTAAATAGACATTTTGATCGTGGTTTGCCCGGCTTTTCTACTTCAATTCGTTCGATACAGCAGCCAGGCTTTTCTATTTCAATTCGTTCGATACAGCAACCGGCTTTTCTATTTTCAATTCGTTCGATACAGCAACCGGCTTTTCTATTTCAATTCGTTCGATGCAACAATGCTAATTCATCACCGACTTGGTTTTCACGATTGTGAGTGTGTTTTATTGTAAGTCAATTTATTGTGATATATTATCTGTGGAAATAAAAATCTTTACAGGCAAATGAGTCAGATCCTTACTGTTATATAAAATTAACAGATATCTCAAATTGAACACGTAACCTACTATATATTCTGTTTTTGGAGTCAGATACTTATCTAATTCGCTTAATAAGAAAGCAAAGACAGCAGAAGTTACATTGGTGACCCCGAACGTCGGGATTATTATGGATCGTCAACAATCGTAAGTCATTTTATTCTATTAACTATTCTGTGTGATTTATCAACTGTTTGACCTGGTTTGTAAAATCTTCTTACAATATTGTACCTGGTGTTACTTAAGTGTATATAAGGTTGTATGGTATATATATTGATTATTCGGTAAATAAATGTCCAAATTACAAAAAATGTTTACGCGAAGCAAAGCTCGTAAATCAGAACAATCAGGCGTAAATCCATATCAATTAACACATATTACGCCTGAAATACCAAAACGTCGAGATATTGAAGACGAAACAGAATTTGGACTTGAAAATTTGAATATTCCTGAATCAAATTTAATTGAACGTGAAGATGACAATTGTAATTGGCAAAGTTCGTCCCCAAAGGAAACAAAACCTGTTGTTGATATGGAGCTTACGCAGTGCGAGGATTTGGGAGGTGATTCTGGACAGAGAATAAACCTTTCAATTGCCGTCGTTAGGAAATTTAATGACACAAACAACCCATTTTTGACCAATAAGATAGAGTAGAAGATTCCGGACCGAATTACGGCATAATTCCAGAATCTCTCAGATAACTGAACCTAGAACAATATTGTATGAAAAGCATAGAATTCCCACGAGACCACTTTGGGAAAATTCGGTGAAAATTGGATCTTTTTAACGGAAAACGAATTCGCTGAAAATCAAATAGTCAGCGATTCGCAAAAGAAAAACTATATACTAAGGTGTTTAAATTTCCACAACTGGATCTTGTCAGGGCAAGGATGCCGCTCGATGAACATAATAATAATTATGAAAAACTGAAACAAATTTTGTTGGACATTTTTGCACCGGATTCTCGAGAAAAAATTACAGAAAATATTTTCTGGGCAATTACAAAATGAAAGGCCAGATATTATTCTTAAATATTTGAAAGATTCCTTTATTGGGGGACATAGAAACCGTATAGAAGTTCAAAATCTAATAAAGAAAGTGTTTGTAGCATTGTTACCAGCTTACATAGCCAACGTCTTATACTCAGATATAGCAAAATATTCATGCGAGAAATTGCTGGCTCGCGCGATGCAAATTTTATGATTCCTCAGATAATAATTCGAACCATGTCACAAGTACCTATCAAAAAGACAATTCTGGACAAAATAAACTGGAGCAATTAACAGATCTGGTAACGTCTCTGGCTAAAAATGTTGATAATTTGAATACCCAAATCAAAGCAATAAACAGCCCAAGATTCGAACCAAAATTTAACCCGGTTCATCGATATAATGCCCCTCCGCAGCATCAAGCGAGACAGTACAATTCTCAAGATAGGCGTCAATTTGAAACGAGGAAGTTTGCTAGAGGTTATCCTAGGAATACTTTCAATTCGAACAATTATAACTGGAGACGGAATTGTGATGTAAATTTCTGCTATTTCCATAATAAATTTGGAGAAAACGCAGTCAAATGTAATGCCCCTTGCAGCTTTCCTAGAAAGAAGAATTTTTTAGCCGAAGGGTAGACTTTTCTGGTTTTAACAGCCCGGAAGGTCTACCCTCTCGTAAAACAAATGCTGTACATAAATTTAAGAATTGTGAAAATTTAAATAAAAATAATTTACCGTCTCTGTCAAGCAACAATAAATTATTTTTTGTATATGATTCCCTTTCTAAAAATCGACTTTTAGTTGATACTGGATCAACTTATAGTATTTTAAATGCCAAAAAGTTACATCAATTTAAAACCATAAAAAATCTTTCCGAAGATAATCCCGGTACACATATTATTCGTGACCGAAAATATGAACCTCTGATTACGGCAAATGGCACAAAATTAACCGTAGTGGGCAATACCGAAATTGAAATTTGCTTGGCAGATAAGGTGAAATATACACATAATTGGGTGTTAGCAAACATAGAATTTGATGGTATACTTGGAATAGACTTTCTTGTTAAAAATAAACTGGTAATAGACTTAGCAAACAATTGTTTAACTAATAGAGCAGACGATTTTTCAATTCCGTGTCATAATACGTTAAGTGGTGCGCCAATATTAACCTTAATACCGGAAACAATAGATAAGGAATACCAATTATTATTGCAAAAATATCCAGAAATTTTAATCCGGAAACATGCAAAATTTCGAGGAATTAATCATAATTATCAACACGATATTATAACTTTTGGACCTCCAGTTTATACAAAAGACCGACCGGTTCCGTTCAAATATAAGAAGCAAGTAGACGACGAGATAAATAAATTATTAGAAAACGGAGATATAATTCGCGGAGTTAGCCCGTATTGTAGCCCGCTGAACGTAGTTCCTAAAAAGGACAATTCAATTCGTTTGACTTTTGATTATAGACGTTTGAATCTGATTACAAGAATCCCAAGATTCCCATTGCCGAGACTTGAAGATTTTACGTCGGAACTCGCCGGATGTACAATCTTTACTAAACTCGACCTTGAATCGGCTTACTCAAATATCAAACTTAATCCGTTACATAGACATAAGTGTGCATTTAGCGTCGCGAATGCTCAGTATATTCCCATTATGATGCCATTTGGCATTGCTTCCGCACCCAGTTCCTTCTCTAACTTCATGAGTAAAGTTTTGTTTGGGTTGAAAAATGTTTTTGTCTATCTTGATGATTTACTAATTTACACTAAAACAAAAGAGGAAAACTTGAAAGTAACCGATCAAGTATTTAAACGACTAAACCACTATGGTTTAACACTAAACCTAAAAAAATGCGAGTTTGGAAAGTCAAATCTTTCTTATCTAGGCTACGAACTTGATGAAAATGGAATAAAACCAATCAGAGACAAAGTCGAGGTTATTAAAAAATTTCGAGTACCACAAACAATTACAGAATGTCGCAAATTCATAGGCATGTGCAATTTTTATAGGAAACATATAGCCAGATATTCTGAGATAATTTATCCGATTACTCAATTAGTCTCAGATAAAAACCGCAAACGTCAAAAACCAATTTGGACAGCAGAATGTGATGCTGCCTTTCATAAAATCAAAGAGTGTTTGGTTAACGCATGCATGATAGCACACCCAAGAATTGATGTGCCAATAACGGTAATATGTGATGCAAGTTCGTCTGCTATTGCAGGGGCCGTAACACAATATGTTGACGGAATAAACCAGCCCTTGGGGTTCTTTTCAAAAACTCTATACAAGCGAGAGAAAAACTATACTATTTTCTCCAAAGAACTAATGGCTTGTTACTTAACCATTAAGTACTTTAAAAATCTTTTAATCGGTCGACAATTTCAATTATTATCCGATAACAAAGCGTTAATTCAGGCACTAAATAATCCGACAAATAGACCCAGCGACAGAGAAAACCGTCAACTGGATTACATCACAAGTATGACAAACTCGTTTTCTCACATACCGGGGTCAAGTAATCCAGTGGCCGATTTTATTTCTCGCTATGTAAATAATGATAGCCAAAGTAATGATAAAATTAATACAGAAAAAGCTAATACAATGGACGAAATAGAGACGCGCGAAGCAAAAACAGCGGTCGTCAAGGACAACGACGCAGCGAAGCGTATAACGTCATCCGAACCACAGACGCACGAAACCGGTGAAGCGAATAAATCAGTCGACGCAATGACGCACGTAACGTCAGCCGACGCAAGCAGACAGCAGACGCAAGGAACCGGTGAAGCGTGTAAAACCGTTGACGCGATGTCTGACATAACGCCATCTGAGCAACGTAACCGCGGAACTGATAATACGTGTGTGTAGAGTAGAGAATAAATCTGTGATAGAAAATGGAAATGTTCTAGAAAATAAAACTGTAAATATTATTTATCAACAACAAGATGCCATTCCTTTAACGGAAATAGCTAAAGAGCAAGAAAACTGTAAAGAAATACAAAGTTTAAAAGCAAACTCTGGCCATTCACTCAAGCTTGCAGAAATAGCCATAGACAACATGGGTGGAGTTATTCTATGTGACGTATCCTTGGAACATAAGAAAGCTAGACCTATAATACCCAAGATTTTACGTAGGAGAATTTTCGACAAAATACATGACCTTTGTCATCCAGGTATTAAAAGCACCAATAATTTAATTTCAGAACGTTACGTATGGCCACAAATGCATGCAGATATTACAAATTATGTGAAATCTTGTTTGAAATGTCAGAAAAACAGGATCTTTAGACACACTGTATCTCAACTGTCATCTATTCCTATTCCTAATGAAAGATTTTCAGAGGTTCAAATAGATATTGTTGGACCATTTGTACCAAGCAAAGGTTTTACTTATATTTTTACGATGATTGACCGTACCACACGTTGGATAGAGGCGATCCCGATATGTGATCTGACCGCCTCAACTCTTATAGATACATTTTTATTGCATTGGGTTGCCAGATTTGGGTGTCCAACTCTCCTTAAGAGTGACAATTACTCCTCTTTCAGAAGTAAAAATTGGGCTCAATTTATGAATTTTTTAGGAATAAAACATAAATTTTCATTGCCATATATGCCGCAGGGAAACGGACAAATAGAACGAATTCATAGAGAATTAAAACTTGGTTTGAAGTGTCAGGAAAACCCTAGTGAATGGTCATCAAACTTGGGATACGTCCTTTTAGGTTTGAGGTCCATTCCGAAATTAAACGGATTTTCATTGTCCGAACTTGCATATGGGAGAACACTGAGACTCCCTGGAGAATTAGTGGAAAGTTCTGACATAACCCAAGATTTTGACCCTTACAGTTATGTTTCTAAATTAAAACGTTTTTTTGGAAATTTTAAAGCTCTTCCAACAAGAAAGAAATTAAGGTCTAATGTATATATTCCACCAAAGTTGTTCACTTGTAGTCATGTGTTTCAACGAATAGATCACGTAAAAAAGTCTTTGCAACCCAACTATCAGGGGCCATATGAAGTGATATTTCGAAATAAGACTGCTTTCACTATAAAAAAAAATAAGGGTATAGAACGAGTTTCTATTAACCAATTAAAACCTGCTGAAATTACTATTTTTGAAACAGATAAGGAAGAACGTCCTGAACAAAAACATGACGTGGAAAACCAAAATTTTCTCACTGAAATTGAAAAACCACCAATAAAAACAGTAATTACTCCCAAGAATAACAATGAACCTTTTATTTCAGAATTCACGAGTCCAACGACAGAGGACATCCTATGGAAGAAGGAGAACCAGCCCAAGACCAGATACGGCCGGACAGTACGTCCGCCAGACCGGTATGGACAGGCAGAGACGGAAGTCTAGAGGAAAAGGAAGAGGAAAATTCGGACAATGACGAAATAACCCGGACCGACAAATCCGATAGAGAAATCATTTATTTGAAACGTGGCAGGATGGTGGGACAAGAATTTTATCAAGAATTCAGGTATTTATCCATTATACTATTACTTCTAGTTTTTATGCAATTACCATGGCTATGTTTTGGAAATCCAGAGGTTCATGGCTATATCTGCCAAAATGACAAAATCAATCAAGAGTACGACATATCGGATGATAAGTCTTGCAAACAACACAAATCCGAACACATAGTGAAATGTCAAGCTAAAGTCTATCACGCACCTAAATTGCATACTAAAATTCCAATTAGAGCTTGCCAAACTAGTATAACTGAATGGAAAAGTCACTTTTATTTCTTTGGAGCTAAGACTCACTTTACAAAATAAAATCAGGAGTACCTTCGTCCGAACAAAATTGCAGAAACTGGTTTAAGACTCACGAATCGAATCAATTCGGTAAGTTTGTTCAGAAAACCAATGATCTATGGGTAACCGAGAATAAACCGGTTATCAACTATAAATGGCCCACAACTGATTCCGGAACAACTGAAAATATTGCCCTATTAACATCCTATGTAATGTATGACCATCTAAACTCAAAAATTATTTTTCCTCTAGCTGACAGCGCAAATTGCTCTGTAAATCAATCTTCCTGCCAAATTGGTAGTTATACACTTTTATTTGACGATGCAAAATTCGAAAAATGTCCAAACAAAGCGGAGGAAATAAACTCTTCGCTAACTGCACATGTAAACAACACTAATGACATATATGCTGTAGAACTAAACGATTTACATATGACCTTTCATTCCTTTTCAGTGTGTAACGAATTAACGACTGATTGCTTTGGCAGTATTTTCTGCCTTGAAAACGAACTTTTGGTTCAAGTCAAGAATTGTAGTTTATTAAAGAAAGTCAACGTGTTACGTGAGTTTGCTGATCACGCAGACATTTCGACGGCATTAACGTTGATGATACAAAATGTCGCAGACTCACAAACCGCTCTGTCCGCGAAATTACAGAGCCAAATCTTTAAATTGGAATGTGAGACCGAACGAATATTATCTAAAATTTATAGAGTTTTAGCGAAAACGTACCCGTCGGATGTGTTGAACGAAATTTTGGGAACAAATAATCTCTTTGCGGTTAACAGAGGCGACGTGCTGGGCACCCTTTTGTGTCAACCCATAAAAGCGAGTCTCTTAAATAGTCTAATATTACCTAACGAGTTATATTCTACTCGTCCCTTAGTTAACTATACTGATAACACTAACACTACAGTTATCGCCCAATACTTGTCTTCGGGAAGAATTCTTCCAGGTATAAACTTTTATAGTACCGAACCACAGGAGTTCGTTACCTTTAAAATGAATAACACTTATTATAGCTATCAAAAGGGAATTCTACAAAACAAAACCACAAACCCAAAGAAAATTCACCCTTACCTAACAACTAAGAAAATAAATCCTTACAATACAAATTATCTTACTTCATTGTCAAAATTCTTCAAGAACGACGTACCGCGTTCTAACGACATAGATTCAATGCTAATGTCCATAAGCCAGAATTCCATATTTACTAAAAGTCTAATTGACTATGCCAATTCTTTTAATGACGAACAGGAAACAACTAGTGCTAATCCTGCACTTCCCCTGAAAATACTAGCTAAACATATTAAAAAAATATTGATATCTTTTCTTAGTGGAATAGGCAATAAATTCCTTGCCATTGTAATACTGATCGGGCTAATTCTGTCTATTATTTTTGCTTACGGCAGGACTGTAACTTTGGCTGGAAGTGGAATCCGAAGTTCTGTCGGGAGAAGAATAAGGGATAGAATCTTTGGGGGCGTCCCTCTCCTCCCGACAGACGTACAAGCACTCCGAGAGAACAGGAAGGCCCCAGATATCGACGTACCCGCTCCCGTGAACCGAACGGAAATCATTCCAGAGGTACGCATGTCCACCACCAACCGAGAGTCACGCGTACCCCAGTAAGGGATAGATGGGACCGTCTCTGGTCGTCCCGTGGCGGAGCCAGAAGCCGAACCCCCATCGGCCAATCATCCACAGCTCGTCCTATGGCACCGGTGCAAAGAGCTCCCCCAGCAAACGAGAGGGCCAATGCTATGCAACACCTCAGAAGCAATGGTGGAAATGTCGAGGTCTTAAATCTCGTGTCGGATAGCGGAAGCGAATAAATAAAAATTTATAGCGCTCGCGGCGATAAACAAAACTTATGACCTGATAAAAGACAATGACAGGTTACATAATCAAGAAATTATAATCAAGAAAATAAATACCTTTTTTTAACATTTTTTTTTTTTTTGGATCCAAAGGCTCACAAGTTTTTAAGCCTTATTTTTTTCCCTCAATCATTTTTTTTTCAACCAATGATTCCCCAAATGGAGTGGCAATTTTTCGTCAATTCAACGTCTATTTTTCGCCAGTTTTTCGATTTATTTTTTCGTTGGTTTACTGTGTCATACGTAATCAAGAAAATATTGCAGTACTAATTTCCCACCATTTTTATGTCTCATTCTCGCCTTTTTTGTTCGACCGACTTTCAGTGTCTTATATATTTTTGCCGTAGTTTTCTCGTAATTTTCAGTGTCTTATATATATATTCGCCTAATTTTTAATGTTTCATTCTTGCCCATTTTATTGCAGTATTGCAGTTGAACATTCAGGCAATCTCTATACCGCAGACTAAATATTATATTCTCTCTTCTGACATTCATGAAATCTTTGGCTTATATTACCCTGAGATGTCTCACCTGTATGATAGGATTAGCTACACATCTCAATACTTTCATACATTTATAGAGATAGGATAGGATGTCCATATTTATCCCAGGAGAATGGAATACCGATAAAACAGCTCATTTATATGGCAAACCACGGAACCTTTGGTCTGGCAACCAGACCTTGCATAGCCATTGAGTGTGGCGTTTGTCCACACTCAGATTTGTCCTCATCGAGCACAAAATCCTAATTTTCTGCATATCAAGGTTACAACAGTCCAGTTTCAGGAAATATTATAAAAAAGTATGCATCCTACATCTAAATTTTTATTTATCTAAATTATTCTATTTACCTTTCTTATTACAACACCAGAGTCATGCACTGAGAATATAATCGACTATGTATGCATTAAGCTTGCCATAAACAAGAACCGAAAAAAGGTATCTTGCCCCAGAAATGGTTTTTGTTTATTTATCATTAGCTTCAAAATTGAAAATTTTTATACTTTATATATTTCAATACTAGAGCTACTTTAAAAAAATTCAAATCAAAAAAGTATGTTTTGGAACCTGCCATTAGCAGCAATAAAAATGGACAGGTTTGCTGGCAGACTGGCTGGTGTTTAGTTATGAATTGTTCCCCCAAATTTTATTGTATAATATTTCCCTATTTTTAATATACCCCATAACATATATCAATATATGTTATGAATTTCAACATTGGAGTCTTGCCTAAAAAAATATTCAATCGAAAATTTTTCAAACTTCCCATAATTCATGATTGAAAGTGGTGTATTTTGCACCAAGAATAAATTTCATCATTTTCATTATAATATAATGTTCACCAAATTGTAAATTATAACATTTTCATTTGCTTTGTGTTGGAATAAATAGGCAAGATATGGGTTTATTTTTGTCATGTTTTACAGCAAGTTCGCATTATATTTTCAGTTCATTTTTCTTGACTTGGTTTTTAAACTTTAAAAAAGTTTGAATTTATGGAATACGGTGTATAATGAATGAACAAGAACAATTTTGTGCCAGAATATGTGATCTTCGGTTGCTGTTTATGGCAAGTTTCAAACATACATTTGCGATATTTTTCTCAAGCAGGATTCCAATTTTAAAATAACAAATATTTTCAGATTTGAGGAACATATTGTAACTTTATATATTCAAACAATTTCCAACCAGTATAAAATATACTATCTAAATTATATTTTAAGAACAAGAATCTAGTGTTGAAATGCAAAAAATATAAATTCTCTAATTAGGAATGTATTGAACAAAAGAGAAAGGCTAAAATATATGCAGATGGTAGAACTATGTTAACAAGCCTAATTCCAGATGAAACTACCCTATATTTAAACATGTACTTGCCCTAATGTCCATACGCACACACAGCACGGACACTCATTTGATCTTCGTCAAGTCGAAATAGGCTGATGCCCATGACTTGCAGTATGCTATTCTGTACCGCCACTGCTAAGGTTTTTCATTCAATTGTATTCCATAGTATGAAGGCAAAGAGTGAGACCACTAGTTAAATATTCAATTATAAAAGATAAAAAATCCTAAAACGCACAAGCCCCTAATAAAAAGGAAATATAAAAGAGTGCTAATATACTGCGTGAAGATGCAAAAATTAAATAAAAAAATAATTTTTAAATTAACGAATTTAAGAAATTAAAACAAACATGTAGAGCACGCACAAAAAATTTAGGGTCGCAATTTCCTATACCCTCATGTCCTAATCAGAAACAAATATTGATGGTTAATCTTTTCAAAATAATCCAAAAAGTAAATGTCATCAATGACCTACTTAGCATTGAAGATTTCATCGGCTGAAAGGAAATAAATTTGGTTGAAATTTCATTCAGAAATATATCAGTAATTCTTAGAAAAAATTAGCATGGTGTCAATAAAATATTCAAAATCTCATTTGATTTAAAATGTTAAAAAGTTATACTATGATTTTACAAGTTTTATTACCAATCAAGCTTAATTCAGAATCATACAGTGAATTGGTTACACTGGTTTAATATTGCTAATAATAAATTTTTTCTTGTCTGCATTTGAAAAATTTACTTCACCAATGGACAATTAGTACAATTGGCCTTTTATTAAGTACAGTATATGTCAATAATAATTGAACATGGCGTTAACATGACTAAAATTATTGTTTTTTCCAACTTTCACTCTGAACTAGGCTTTGTATAAACTTCCACTGATATGTAAGTAAGTAAACACATATTTTGATGTCTAAAATCTATTCGATTTAAAAGTGTGAAGGATTTAAACCCGATTTTTTAACCTGCAATCCCAACATAGTTAAAGCATAATCACTTGGCTCGATAAGAGTTTACAAGAAGTCAAATATCTATCAAAATTTTACTGTGGCCTGGAAAATTTCTATTCTTAATCTGGAACTCTAAAGATATCAAACTTTAACGGTAAAATTTTTTATACATAATGAATTTATTGCAATTATGATGATTTAGAGTAAATTAAAAACAATTTTGGAATTTCAAACATTTAATGGTGTTTTCAGTTTACAGCTATACTCTAAACAAGACTTTTTGCAAGCAATCACAGATAGGTGGAAATGAATGATTACACAATGCCTTTTCAATAAATTATAAAAATTGAAATTCTCAAGTGTTTAACACAAACCTTTGGGGTAAACTAAATTTCAAAATTATTATCCATTACTTTGTTATTGCCCCACCATTGATTTGTCGAATTTATTTTCTTTGATTCTGTTTAATAATAAAAAAAAACAGAGAAAGTTGGGACAATAATGGAATCTAACTCAATGAAAACAGGAAAGAAAACATATAAGAAAATTAATGGCAAGCCCTAATTGGTTAATCGGCTCGATTAACCAATGTTAGAAAATGAATAATAATGTGCAAGAGGTTTGTTCCTTCACACTGTAGGGTGGTTCAAGTAACTGCTGGTCAGTCGGGGCTCCTTTCACCATCATGTCCATGCATCCAAAATCAAATAACTTTCTAACTAATCCTATAGCATACATGAACTGTTAACTGGACGATAGGCAGGGGCTGGCCATATGATTAAGCTGTGTTATTGGCTTTCCTTTTTCACGGGAAATGTAAATTCTCTTCTATCCTATCATAATAATGACCCTTTTTAAAATAAAATTGAGTTTTTGTATATTAATATTAGTGAATTTAGGTTATACCTTCAACGTTACAAATCCCGAAGTTTTGCCTGCTCATTCAATACTTCGCCTCAACGATATCTAAAAAATGTATGAATATAGGCCGGAACTTACAATTTAGTCGCCATGGATACCTAGATGAATATTGCTCATTGTTGCCACATAGTGGCTGCTGTTGAAGTAACCCAAAACACCAAATTAACTGGGAGAAGGGTTGATAGTTGCATAACATTATTTGATGTACAACTAAAAAGGTCGTAGTTGTGTTAAGTTTGCCTAGTATTATTTGGTGTACTGAAACAAAAAGTCGGGGTTGAGTAGAGATTATATGAAATGTCCTGATCATTAGATGTCAATCATCAGAGACCACATTGATGAATTTTGTTGTTCCATACTGCCATCTAGCGTAGACTTTTCAAATATTTTCTCATGTTAATCACAACTGATCGACAGTGTTACTATTGGCCCACGTGGGACACATGATACAAGTACCACGCATGTTACAAGTGATGCGATAGGTGGGTGAAATGGGGCACGTGAGACATGTGGGACGAGTGCCGAGCGTTATACAAGTGGTACATGTGGCACAAGTGAGAAACGTACGAAATATGATACAAGTGACAACGGGTACACGTGGGATAAGTGCAACATGTGAGACAAGTGGGATACGTTCGAATAATGATACAAGTGACACACGTGATATGAGTGACATATCGAAAACAAATAAAGCACAATTTCGGAAAATGGTAAAAGTGATACAAGTGACTCGCGTGGAACAAGTACGACATGTAGGTCAAGTGCGGCACGTGGGACAAGTGCGAAAAATGGGACACGTGAGACACGT